GAGGAGGGGGCCTGGGAGGGGCTTCAGGGGGGGTTTGGGGAGGTTTGGAGGGGCCTTGCTGAAGCTCAGGGGGATTTGGGGGCAATGTGTGGTTTTTGGGGGGTTTTGTGCTCCCAGACATTCCCTCACAGGAGCTCCTGGTGCTGTTTGGGATCGGCTGCTTCAGGAACTGCCCTTCTCCCTTAGGATCCCCCAGCCCCTGGCAGGAGTTGGGGATCACCTGTGGGGATTGTGGGGCCTCTCTGACTCCTTCCATGAAATCCATCGGCACGAAGAGCCCAAAGGAGCACAGGGCGCTGTTTGAGGAGATCACCAGGAATTTAGGGATCCCTGTCAGGGCTTTAGGGATCCCTCTCAGGGCTTTGGGGATTTCTCACTGGGGTTCAGGGATCCCTGTCAGGGCTTTAGGAAGATTCCTGCCCCTGTTTCCGCAGGGAGCCGTGGAGTCCATCGCCATGAAGAACCCGAAGGAGCGCACGGCGCTGTTCGAGGAGATCAGCCGCTCCGGGGAGTTGGCCCCCGAGTACGACAAGCGCAAGAAGGAGATGGTGAAGGCCGAGGAGGACACGCAGTTCAACTACCACCGCAAGAAAAACATCGCTGCCGAGCGCAAGGAGGCCAAGCAGGAGAAGGAGGAGGTGGGGAGCGCTCAGAATCCCGGGAAAAGCAGGTTTTGGAGACTCTCAGAGTCCTGGAGAAAGGGGATTTGGGGAATGCTGGGAATCCCAAGAAAAGCAAGTTTTGGCAACGCTCGGGATCCCGGGAAACGCGGGTTTGGTGTCACACCAGTGTTGGGTGGGAATGGAGGGAACGGGGCAGGGAAAAGCAATTCCAGGTGGTCCCTGGGGAGCCTGGGGAGGAGGGAAGGGAATGAGGGAGATTTTCCTGTGGAAAAAGGTTGGGAAGGAAGCAGAGCCGGGGGTCAGGGGGCTCCTGGGCAGAGCTGGGGGTCAGGGGGCTCCCGGGCAGAGCCGTGGCCGAGCCCCGGGCCCAGCAGCTCCTGTGGCTCCCGTGGCTCCCGTCCCACGTCCCCGTCCGTCCCCGTCCCCGCAGGCCGATCGGTACCAGCGCCTCAAGGACGAGGTGGTGCGGGCCCAGGTGCAGCTGCAGCTCTTCAAACTCTTCCACAACGAGGCCGAGATCGAGAAGCTCAACAAGGAGCTGGGGCTGAAGAACCGCGAGATCGACAAGGACAAGAAGAGGATGGACAGGGTGGAGGACGAGCTCAAGGACCGCAAGAAGGAGCTGGGCAAGATGATGAGGGAGCAGCAGCAGATTGAGAAGGAGATCAAGTGAGCCCGGGGATCCTGGGATTTGGAGAGTGCTGGGCAGGAAAATCTGTCTGGTTCCAGCCAATCCCCCTGTCCTGGGCAGGGAACCTTCCCAGACCAGACGGTTCCAAACATCCCCGGGTGGTTCCAGGCATTACCCGGCCACCGCTGGGCAGTTGTGGCTCTCCCAGCCTGTTTTCATGGGGGAAAGGCTCCAAAATGGGAATGGGGGGATTCACCAAACCCCAAAACCGGGCACCGGCACCACCCCACAAAGTCCTTGGGAGGCCTCACGGGGGGCTCTGGGCAGGGAGAAGGACTCGGAGCTGAACCAGAAGCGGCCGCAGTACATCAAGGCCAAGGAGAACACGTCACACAAGATCAAGAAGCTGGAGGCGGCGCGGAAGTCGCTGCAGAACGCCCAGAAGCAGTACAAGAAACGCAAGGCAGACATGGACGAGCTGGAGAAGGAAATGCTCTCCGTGGAGAAATCCCGGCAGGAGTTCGAGGAGCGCATGGAGGAGGAGAGCCAGAGCCAGGGGAGGGACCTGACCCTGGAGGAGAACCAGGTCTGGCTGGGCCGGGTGGGGCTTGGGAGGGCTGGAGGGGATCCAGAGCCTCGGCAGAGACCTGACCTCGCAAGAGGAGCAGCTGTGGGGCGATCCCGTGGGCTTTGGGGATCCCGGATCCCAGCCCTGCTGACCAGCCGTGCTGACCCCAGGTGAAGAAGTACCACCGGCTGAAGGAGGAGGCCAGCAAACGCGCGGCCACGCTGGCCCAGGAGCTGGAGAAGTTCAACCGCGACCAGAAGGCCGACCAGGACCGGCTGGACCTGGAGGAGAGGAAGAAAGTGGAGACCGAGGTGAGCTGAGGGTGCTCAGATTGTCCCCAAAGTCCCCCCTGACCCCGGCTGACCCCTCTGACCCCTCTGACCCCTCTGTCCCCTCTGTCCCCAGGCCAAGATCAAGCAGAAGCTGCGGGAGATCGAGGAGAACCAGAAGCGCATCGAGAAGCTGGAGGAGTACATCGCCACCAGCAAGTGGGTGCCGTGTGCCAGGAGGGGCTGGGGCCGAGCCCCCCAGACCCCCCCA